TGGCGGCCATATTGGATTTCTGATCGACCCGAAAAATAACAACACTTTGTCAGGACCATGAGGCGATCATTCCTACCAACTTTCAGTTCAATCGGTCCAGCAGAACTTGACTTTAAGTTTGAAATAGGTTTTCAAAATGGCGGCCGTGGCGGCCATATTGGATTTCTGATCGACCCGAAAAATAACAACACTTTGTCAGGACCATGAGGCGATCATTCCTACCAACTTTCAGTTCAATCGGCCCAGCAGAACTTGACTTTAAGTTTGAAATGTAAAATGTTAACGGACGACGGACGACGGACGAAAACGGATAGCAATAGGTCACTTGAGCTAAAGCTCAGGTGACCTAACAAAGGCAGCATGCTGGAGAGAGAAAGTCACCGACACATCAGTCACATCAGTAATGATATCATAACAAAGGCAGCATACTGGAGAGAGAAAGTCACCGACACGTCAGTCACATCAGTAATGATATCATAACAAAGGCAGATTGAGAAACTGTACACTATATGGTCATGGTCTCATAAAATCCAAAAATGACAAAATATGTTAAAATGGAATTACAGTAAAACCTCAATATAGTGCCCCTCATTTCATTTGCTACTTTCTGCCAACTAATTTCAGTGTCCCTTTTCCTTTTTTTCTTAAGAATTTGTTTATAATGCTTCCTCTCAAATTATTGCCAAATCCCTTTATAATGCCAGCATCTCTCTTTGACATATGGTGGCAGTATAACAAGGTGTACAATGATATCTTACCTGAATGTTGATATGATGGTAAACCAGAGATTCCAGAACGGTAGCCGTACAGAGAACAGGTTTACGATTCTGAAACAGTCAATGTTTTGACAGACAAATAAATTTGTGTCATTGTATTGTTGCTCACTTTATATCTTGAGTTACTCAATTCCGATATAATTTTGATATATATGTAATAAAGTATAATTTCACAACATCTGACATAATTGATTGTCAGTTACAAAACAAGAACTCCAATTCTAGTGAACTATATGGGTGCTCTAGGTCTAGCAATATAATAGGATACCAAGGTATTTGCACTGATTTTGTGTAGACATTTTTTCATATCACAGGGGTAGTAACTATGTAGTGTCCCCCACATAAAAACTCAATGCTGCCATTGTATGTACATACCCTGGTTAGTTCTAACACTTGCAAAAACTGCACACAACTGAAACTGTTCATAGTCAATATGAGCAAACAGCATGAGTACTACTATTGTTGTCTATTTATACCATCCCAGCAGGATGTTTCTTAATACAGGTTCAGTACACAATGAAAGCACTAAGACGGTAAACACTAAAAGTGGCCTCTCAACACAAGTGGTCTCTTAACACAGGTGGTCTCTTAATGGAGGGTCGATGAGTAGGTTTGATTGTAATACCACGACAGACAAATTACTTACACTGCGGCAATTAGTATACTCTTCTCATGAACTTGGAATGAAAACAGGAAAAACACCAAGGAACAATTTATCTGCAAGAAAAATAATTTGAACATGGAAGTCAGATATTTTTACAAGTATGTACAGTGTGCTACAATTTTCTTGCTCTATATTATTTATTTCCATCTGATCTGGGAGTAAATGTATTGATAACTGTCATTTAGAAATACACAACATATCACTGTACGAGGAACATTTATTTTTTCCATTATACTCAAAATAGATAGCACAAATATCATATATAGAAGAGAAAGATTGCTGATATGATGTTGTTTATTCGCATAAAAATATTAACAAATTGACTTACTAATGAATATTTAAATCTCAGAAAACTTGGTTTGAACAGGAGATTCAGTGATGATGGTAGACACATCAGTACTGTAGATGCCAAGCTGTAATTATAATAAATGAACTTATACAATACCAAGACTTAACAAGTATTAATAGATTCAGAACAAGGACATGTTACTGCATACCATGGTGATTTCACAAGTGCAATTTTCACGCTACAAGTAATCTGTGAATTCAAAATGACAGAAATGTAATGACAATACCACAATAGGTTCCCTGTGTGCTTGTTTACAATGGTTTGATAGCATTTTTCTCCTAAAGTAATTTGTCAGAGTAAAGTTCAAGTGTGTGTCAATGTATTTCCCCCCCCCCCCCCCCAAGAAATTAGATTTCCAACCCTCCTTATCATACCAAAGCCAGCATTGTGAAGGCACCTCTTAAACAATTCTTTGGTATAAACTAAAGCCAAGGGTAGAAATTTGTGAAGACACCTCTTAAACAACTGTTTGGTATAAACTAAAGCCAAGGGTAGAAATTTGTGAAGACACCTCTTAAACAACTGTTTGGTATAAACTAAAGCCAAGGGTAGAAATTTGTGAAGACACCTCTTAAACAACTGTTTGGTATAAACTAAAGCCAAGGGTAGAAATTTGTGAAGACACCTCTTAAACAACTGTTTGGTATAAACTAAAGCCAAGGGTAGAAATTTGTGAAGACACCTCTTAAACAACTGTTTGGTATAAACTAAAGCCAAGGGTAGAAATTTGTGAAGACACCTCTTAAACAACTGTTTGGTATAAACTAAAGCCAAGGGTAGAAATTTGTGAAGACACCTCTTAAACAACTGTTTGGTATAAACTAAAGCCAAGGGTAGAAATTTTTTAAGAGAGTAACCATGGTTATACTTGCCCTACCCTGTACATGTGATTTTTGCATGCAATATTTTGGGAAATGGTGATAAAATATAATATCAACTCATTCACCCCTGAAGTTTTATAATACACTATTCTAAAGCGCTTTAGAAATTATATAGGGCGCTATATAAATGTTGTATATTATTATCATTATTCCAACCTTTGGTTTGGAAGATTTAAATGTGTCTTCAGGGCTGAATGAGTTAAGAAGAACTAAGTTACATGTATGAATTTTAATAAAAGACATGATATTAATCAAAATGAAATATCAAGTGGAATCCACTGATAATGGAATATGCAATTAAATAAATGTGTTCTCTCAAAGAATATACTAATATGATACAAGAGATCCCAGAGGGATCTTGGCGCCCACCTTTGTACCATCTTCATTAGTTCTTTGTCAGTCCGATCTTTTCTCTTCTTTCCTCTTATCTGTTTGATCGAGTCATGTTAAGAGTAAATGCACCTTGAGGTAACTTTTGATCTTAACTTAATACTGATGTGTATGAAAGCCAACCTTCAAAGTGAGTTTGTCATTTCACATATTTACTAGTACAGTACTTAATGTGAAAGAAATAGAATCGATCATTGCAATATGAGAAAGATCTGTTTAGTTCTTCTTTTAATCCATTTTGTTTTTATGATCAGTCTCAAAATATAACATGCCAAACGAGGGATCAAGAGGAACCTACATTTAAAATTTGAGAAAGATCCCTCCCGTACTTCCCGAGAAATAGCGATAACAAACTTTCACTATCAAAATCCAAGATGGCTGCCTGTTGGCCATGTTGTTTAACGATCAGTCTCAAAAGTTGCCCTGCACAGCTAAGGACCAAGGGGAACCGACATATCAAATTTGAGAAAGATCCCTCTGGTACTTCTTGAGATATACTGATAACAAGAATTGTTTAAGGACGGACGACGGACGCAGGGTGATTTGAATAGCCGATGGTGGGGCTAAAAATAAAGAAATTCAACAGGAAAAGAGTGATTGGACAAGGTCGGGAGTGTAGTTGATATATTTCTCTCATTTCCCTGTGTGTAAGATAGAGCTTTCCAGGGTAATAAAGGGTGTAGGAAATTTCTATCTTACACCCCATTTCAGTGACGAGACAATGGCTCAACAATGACGTGATGTCAAAAATTTGGAACTCTCCAATGCGGAAAAGGCGATGTGATGTAATTAAAATTCTTTTACGATATATTTAACGTACACGTTAGAAAGATGTATTTTTTCTGTGCAAACTCTGTATGCCAATATGGGATATGCTAAATCTGACTGGCTGATTCGTTTTCGTCTAAAAAGCTCAGGGGAGGAAATTGATATTTTCACAATGGTGGCCAGTCCAAATGCATTTTCATGGTTTCTGAGCTTATTCTGGTGGTTGAAATGAGAGAAAAATACTATTTCATGCCCAAGGGTGAAGGATAGGGGAATTCTACCATCAGGATTTTCAAATTTTGCAAAACCCGAGGTTATGCCGAGGGTTTTGCCAAATTTGAAAACCCCTCGGGTGGAATTTCCCTATCCTTCACCCCTGAGCATGAAAGAGTCTTATATCATTCCTCCTGAACTAGGTAGGACCTACCACAGCAATACGAGGTGATCTCTGGTAAGAATGGTCTTTAGTTTGAACACAACTGATAAACTACACCAAACGTTAGCCACTTTGTCCTGAAACAGAAAGCAATTGTAATTTGGACAGCAATTCTTCTATGTAATGTAACATCTAATAATGTAACATACTGGTTATTGTGTATCAATATTACCTTTCACATAATACATATAGGGGAGCTACCTGGTAATAATGTTCTTTCTCAAATAGGGGTAGCCAGGCCTAGCTTCTACCCTACTTCTCCTTGTAGCTAGAAAAGCATTAGAGAACATCTAGCTACTGTTACAAATTAGTACTGACACTGGAGCAGAATGACCTCAACCACTGTACTGACTGTGGTTGAAGGGGAAGTACTTTGATATTGGAATTATTTTTTGGAAAGGGATCAGAGTTACAAAATCTAACAGAGATCCATGTAGACTGACCTCGTATAGGCCTCGGCTGAAGGGGAATAGCCGGTGAAGCACTTGGAGGGCTGTATCTTGGTTGGAAAGAAACGGAGCCCAGCAGACAGCAAACGTAGCAAGGACTGTGACACCTATCTTTATTAGTCGCAGTAACCTGGCAACACAGGAAAACATGTCAGTTTATTAAGTGCACATGAAATATCAATAGTATCAAGCAGTATGTCTGATTAGTAATTATGGAATGTATCAGCTAAGTGAAATAAGTTTTATTTGCATTGAATTTGTTGGCAATTATCATATACAACACTGGAATGTACAAAATTATAATTATAGAATTTTATATAGTTACATGATTTATGGAGAACTTTTTTTTGCCTTTCCAAAATCATTACATTTTGTTCAGTCAGTATGAACCCCATCATTTATATAACAATTTGCAGCTGCTATGCCTAGATAGTTGCCTTTAATGAAGGCATAGTTTATAACCTTTATGAAATCACGATCATAGTTTACAACCTGCATTACATCATATTAACTTTGGCATAGTCAATATAATAACGTGGATACTATTATCTGAAACACAAAGAAGAGATGACCAGACAATATCAAATGGGGAGTCTTGGCAAAACTTTGCAGAGACTCCCCATTTGACATTGTCTGGTCATCTCTTCTTTCAAATTTTGATTACTCTTATAGCTGGACTAGTGAAATCTATTAAGGAATTCATCGAATGGGGTACACACTTCACTGAACATCCACTGGCGTCCGTTGGATATCATTTTCTCCTGTTTTACCTCATACTGTAAACCATCTTATTTTCATGTCTCTGTTCAATGCCGATACATTTTATTTGTGAATAATTAAATTCACATTTATGGTTAATGTTACAAAGATTTTAAATTAACAAATAAGTCTTCTGGGGAATTAACACAAAAATCAACTTTGCAATAAATAAAAAAATATACAGCAACATGCTTGCACTATATTAACTCTACTACTGGTAAATACTATGACAAGAGGCCCATGGGCCTTAACGGTCACCTGAGTCTACAGTATTTATTTTTGTTGTTGAAATATGTACCAATTTGAGTAAAAAATAGTATAATGTTAACTTAACTTTGTCAGGACCATGAGCTGATCATTCCTATACCAATTTTAAGTGAGATCGGCCTATTAGAACTTAGTAGCAAAATAGCGGCCATGGCAGCTAAATTGTATTTCTGATTGACCCGAAAAATAACAACACTTTGTCAGGACCATGTTCGATCCTTCCTACAAAGTTTCAGTTCAATCGGCCAAGTAGAACTTAACTTTAAGTTTGAAATAGTTTTTTAAAATGGCAGTCGTGGTGGCCATATTGGATTTCTGATCGCCACGAAAAATAACAAGACTTTGTCAGGACCATGAGTCGATCATTCCTACAAACTTTAAGTTCAATCGGTCCAGCAGAACTTGACTTTAAGCTTGAAATAGGTTTTCAAAATGGCGGCCGTGGCGGCCATATTGGATTTCTGATTGACCTGAAAAATAACAACACTTTGTCAGGACCATGAGGCGATCATTCCTACCAACTTTCAGTTCAATCGGCCCAGCAGAACTTGACTTTAAGTTTGAAATGTAAAATGTTAACGGACGACGGACGACGGACGATGGACGACGGACGACGACGGACGAAAACGGATAGCAATAGGTCACTTGAGCTAAAGCTCAGGTGACCTAAAAATAGTGAAAATATTATTACTGAAGAAGCCACAGAAATCCTATATATGCATGTAAAATACAAACAAATCGCTGTTACTGACCCGTTCTGGTCTTGCTTCCTGAGGCACAACCCAAGTAGGTAGAAGAAGAATGGGAAGGCGTGGTACAGCTCCATTTGTTTGTAGTTGAGCGCCAAGACAAAGAAAACAGATCCCCATAGTTCACGACCCTTGCCGATCATCAAAACAGCAAATAGTACAAATCCAAGACTTATGCAGTTGTATCTGTATCATAGGTCAAGGTCATCAAAATGCCATCCTATACAAGAGGGACCATGACCTTTAGTCAAGTGGTAAATTCAACACATACACTTGAGAATACATAACCCCTCTGAATTTCAGAATATAGTATACAAAATAAGCCAGCTGAATAAACAATGCCATTTTCCCCATTTCTTTAATGTTTTCATATCTTATCACCGTTCACCCAATTCAACATGTTTCTGTTGATATTAACAGGTAGGGGATGACTTGAGTGAGTTGAAGGATAAAAGTCATAAATCTTACCCAGTAATTGATTATTTTTCTCACTTCATTTTTCATGATATTCATGTTTCATCATTTGAAAAATTACAGCTTTCAGATAGAGATGAATAAGCACAGAAATGTTGCTCCAGATTGCTGGTAGTTTAAGCCTTTTCAAAGAAAAGAGCGTGAAAAAGGATACTGGAAATGTCCATGGTCGATGAGGATGAGGCCAGGGTACAGCAACACCAGGATACAATTCTTACTCTGTAGACACACCATAACACTATTTTAAGGATGTAAGCTACTTTGGTACTTCTGGTTTTCTGAAAGAGTTATCTTCCCTAACTTTAACTTAAATATTTGAAATAATTGAGAATTATCTGAGTTATCATACTGCATACTTTTTAAAGACACCATCAAGTGAACAGAAAAAAAACCATGAAAGGAAAGGGTACTTTGACATAAATATATTGGCAGTAAATGAGGTGGCAATTACGGCATTATATCAAGGTTTTAGTGATAAATAAGAGACATTATACAGTACTGAGAATTTACTGATAATTTAGAGACATTATATCAAGGTTGACAGTATGGTGATAAACAAGGGGCATTATATTAAGATTTTACTGTATAATAAAAAGTCTCATTATACTAGTGCTCATATTTCTTACCATCTCCTTTGCATACTGCCCAAGTGTGTAAAATGACCCCTTTATAATGCCAATTCATTGGACAAAGAGAGGCAGCATAAGAAAATTTTACTTTCTTTGTGCAAACATTATGCATTGATTCATCAAAGGACTTGGGGCGTTATGGGTCATTTTTGACCTCATGAAAATGTAAAAATTCAACTTTTATGTATTTTACAATTTCTGTTATGAACATCATATTGGTAAATTGTGGCTATCTTTTTGGTGCAGATTTTTTTCAATGTGCATGCATAGATGCCCTACCATAGCAACAAAATTGCATTGCTATGCAGAAATAGCCAAATATGGTGTTTTTTTGACAGTTAGCATGCAGAAAGGAAAGCCAAATAGTGGCCAACAGATGATATTCACAGATTTCATGATGAAAATGTGGGTTAATGTCTCCCTTTGTAATGCCATATCTCCTAAACCAGTTGTCGGAAGAATCTGAAATTTCGTAATTGCATTCTTCATTTATTCCAGATTACGAATACAACAACTATTTCTAAATCCCAGATGAGGCCAAAAATGACCCTCAACTACCCTAGTCCTTTGTTTCATTGATTATGACTAAGGTGCTTAGCATGATAACAAAGCTCAAAACCAAACAACAACACAATTTGTATATCATAAAGAATCAAGGAGTGGTAATAATACATCAATCTTACCACAGCATATTTGGTTTGTCCATTTTTCATGAACATTAGAAACACTACTGGGAAGAAGAACAGGATATCAGCCGCTAACACTGGAAACAGAAACATCAATCTGTCATTCTTAAATAGCCTTAAAGTAACACTGGAAACAGAATCATCAATCTGTCATTCTTAAATAGCTTTAAAGTAACACTGGAAACAGAATCATCAATCTGTCATTCTTAAATAGCTTTAAAGTAACACTGGAAACAGAATCATCAATCTGTCATTCTTAAATAGCCTTAAAGTAACACTGAAAACAGAAACATCAATCTGTTATTCTTAAATAGCTTTAAAGACATTTTTCTGAGAAACTTTCATGCACTAAATCATAAAATGATTAAATTTTTCATTAAGCTCCAGATAGCGAGAACTTTCAATAATTTGATTCAAACCCTGTTCCATGCAACAAATAAAATCTTTCAAACAATAAATGATGAGATTGCTTGGACTTAATCTGTTTTCAAATGTTGCTAATTGTGTCAACTGGTTGTGGTTCAATGCAAAACAAACTTTCCCTATATGTGTACTCAGTGAGATTTCAATGAATTCTGTTGAAATTAATTTATTCAATGGCTTTCACAGTGCTATTTTTCTGTAAAAGACCCAATAATAAAATAAAGTACCTGTTGAATCTATACATGAACCCCTTTTTAGACATCATTCAACAAAATGTATCTGTACATTTTTTTAAACAAGATGAGGTATAAGATGGCTGTTCCATTGTTTACTTTCATGAACACAATTTCAGGCAATGAGATTGTGATCTTGGCCTTAAGATGGAGATCCTGAAAGTGGCACACAACACACTGTGTTGTTATTATGTTATCTTCAGGTGTTCAGTATTGAAAACTTATTTACAAAAGTAATCTTTGACACCTACTTATGACATTGACCTTAGGAATGTGGTATACAGCATGGCCTATGCAATAGTCATCTACAGTTTTAACTTATTGGCCAGAAACTAGACAGACTGTTGGAGAACAACTATGTAAAGACCCAGATAGTAGCTAATTTAGTTACTAGCTCTTTTTGACGAGAAATATTTCTATATAAAACAATTATTTACCTATATATCTCGTCAACAAAATATTCTATTTACTTGTTTGTATGCCACGTCAACAACACAATTCTATCTACCTGCACACATCATCATATTTACCTGTATATCTCATGAACAACTTGTGTGAAGGACTTTCAAATCCTCGGGAAGTCTTCAGCGCTACCCAGTTTGGATTGATCATATTTGCACTGAAATTAAAATATGTATATCAGAGTAATGAGGGCAAAGTACCAATACTTACAGATGTACCTTTATAGTATTTAATATTCCAGTAAGGTACTATTACTTTTCGAAAATGCCTTCAAAAATAAATATATAAACGCTTTGTAGTAAACCTCTAGTTCCAGGATAATGACAACAGTTGATACTAATTTTGAATTACTCCTAATATTTATGTAACTCATTGAAATCAGTTTAATTTTTCTGAAAAAAAGACATTAAAAATACCTACATATATCTGTAGATAATATTAGATTTTGAAATAGCACTGAACACTCTGCCAACACAAGTTTAGACAAAAGTCTAGCTTCTTGAATAATTAAAAAGAATATTAAAACCACAATACAGTTACACCACAAAAAAACACCACAATTTTTTTTTATTCCATAAAACTGTTAATGTACCATACCTATATGATTACTATATAGATTTTACAACAGGATAATCAAACAATAGTTTTGAATGAAAATGGGAGACCAATACATACATGTAGCCACATATCCAGCTATGGTAGGCAGTCAAGGGGGGATAATCCAGTCCCCAATACTGCAGGTCATTTCTAGCAGTTTGATTATACCTGTGGAAAACAAACATGCAGGTGAAAACATCCGACAGACCAAGAAATACATTTAGAAGATTCAAACAGATGTGAATTTAAGATTTTTTTTATTTTTTTTTATTTAATTAATTTAAAAGATTCAACACATCTCAAAACTGGGAATCAAAAGACCACAAAGAAACTTAGTTACCAAATTAAAAATGAAAGTTTATATGCAAAACTATTTCTTTGAAATGTGTGCTTGTGGACAAAAATCAAAGGATTTCTGGCCCACAATCAAACTTTTTTTACCAAAGAAAAAGCAACATCCTGGATGTCATTTCAAAGGAAAAGTGTGTGATCAGTTTGTGGTATGCAATGTTCTTAACAGTTTTTATGTAAATGTGGCTACTGGAAATGATGGCTTCAAGAGCTGATTATGCCATCCTTTCCAAAATCAACAAGAGTTCCGCGAAGCGGTACCTGATACGCCGTCAGATGTCGAATGAGCAGTTTGCTACAAAGGGCCACAAGTGCATAAAGTTATTGCGCAGAAATTGTGTTCCGACAATTCTACAAAAGGCCGTAAGTCTGTAAATTATGGCTGAAGTTTGAAATGAATCCATTCAAAATTTCTCAAGTTATTGAACAGAAACTGTTTCGGCAATTCTACAAAGGGCCATAACTCTGTAAATAACCGGCAAATAATTTTGGTTATCGCAAACTTTCATAGAAGTGAACCTTCCTATAAAGTTTGAAATGAATCTATTCAAAATTTCTCAAGTTATTGAGCGGAAACATCGATTCTATAAAGGGCTATAACTCCCTTAATAACCGGCAGATAATGGTTATCGAACTTGTGCAAGCTTTCATAGAAATGAACCTTCCTAAGATTAGTTGAGGACTGGTGCAAGGCTTTGGACAACCATGAGTATGTCGCTGCCATCCTCATGGACCTGTCTAAAGCTTTTGGCTGCCTTCCTCATGATCTGCTACTTAGAAAGCTGGATGTATATATATGGTGTGAGCAGTGGCTCTCTGAACCTGGTATCCAGCCACTTAGTGACAGCAGGTTAAGCTTGGATCTAAATGCGGCAACTGGTTGGAAGTGCTCAAAGACGTGCCCTAGGGCTCAATTATGGGACACTTACTTTTCAATATTTTTGTCAATGACATGTTAAGTCATCTAAACTGTACAACTATGCAGATGACAATACAGTTAGCTCTTCAAAAATAAAGACTCTAAAAATTAAAGCAATCTGTAGAGTCCAACTGTTGTATTTTAGTAAATAGTGAAATGGACCAGCTATAAAGTAGGTGCAGCTCTTCTTTGAATGCCATAGGGTTTGGTCTAGAACCTATCAAGTACAAATAGTGAGCCTATGATTTTGTCATATATGACATGTTCCATTCAGGTTTAGAGGAGATATGCGACCTGCACTGTATTAGCATGCATAAGTATCATCATTACCATTCCTGTACAGGCAGGTTGTATGTGATTTCCATCCAGTGTCGCTGAGCCTCATAGTCACCAAACATAGGTCCTTTGCCAGCCCCTGCAGTCAAAGAGATAAACACATAACAATGTGAATGCAAATATCCATAATTTTTGACCGACCAAAGCGGTATCACAGAATTTTAGATAGATGTGCAATAAAAAGACGTGCACCAAAACGTGGCAAGTAAAGGCATTGCTGTATGATGATGACGAAATTGAGCTCAGTTCAATAGTTGTTCCTGTAAAGGAAACGGTTGAAAACCTGTCAGTCCAGGAAAAATGAAGAAAACAATGTGAATTCCACTGCTTTAAAAAAAAACCACTTTTATATGTTGATTTGACAATTTTCTGCCTCAGGAACTTCTTCTTCTTTCACATAACAAAATAATCTCCTAGTATGGAGCAATGACTGTTCCTTTGCGCATGTACGGATAAATAATGATGATATAATATTGATACATGTACAAGATAAAAGAATGGCAAATGTTCTAAAACATAAAATACTTGACTCTTAAGTAGGCAAATACTGCATAAATGCGTAGGGCGGGGGGTCAACGGCACACACCAAGAGCATGATTTTTAGTTTGTTAAGAGCGAGATTGACATACACAAATATAGGAAGTTAATTAGAGTAAAGTCTTCGGCCCCTGGTCGAATCAGGGGAAGCAGGTATATAAATTAAATTTTAGATTATGATCCTGTCTGTACTGCAGTGAATATTCCTGCTGGTGCTGTTGGTTGGGGCTTATTCAGTTGATGTGGATTTGTAAAGGCTACATTTGAAGGACTCTAGATTGTCCCTTGTAGCTTAAAGGGTCAAGGCTGAACTGGCATACACCAACTGGGGTCTTACAAGTGTTGTGTAAGTTTGCGATTTTGCCTTTCTTGTACACCCAGCCATATTCCCGCGGAGAAACCTACAGTACTGTAGTGTTCTACACGCTTTCGATGTTACGTTCGATGTTCGAGCTCCGAAACATGAACAGTGTTTTTACTACTTAACTTTTACAAACTAAACTTTTCAATTGTGTGTTCACCTGCGCATTGTGTATCATAAACATTGCATAATCTTCGATAAGACGAAGGAGGCAATTATGTGGAAGAAGAACTGGTCCCCAACTTCACGTGTCCATTGCGTGATATTATCTTCCATAATTAGTATCTTATCCGGTTGTGTTACCGTCCACACATTTTACTTACCTGAGTACTTGCACAAAGACACGCACCATCTGACGAGGATGGCAAGGAGAGCTACCAACAGCGACTGTACCACCTGATGCTGCATACCGGCAAACGCTACGTTGATATATTTTTTCTTCGTGGTCAATTAAGTGTTTGTAACGTATTGAAGCAAAGTCTCTATCATCCAAACATGTCACTAACTCAGATATTAGTGGAGGTTCTTCGGGGGTACTTTTCAAACTTACTTTCATTTTTGCACTTTCACTTTCTCTTGATCTATTTCTTGATAATGTTTATGAAAATCGACAATATTTGGTTAGAAATGCAATAAAAAGTTAAGAACGGTTAAAACAAAAGGTTTTGTTTCAAGAACTTTAGTAAAATGTACCAAACAAAAATGAATTCTTTTAAATTGTATGAATTTACGGTTAGAACCCTACTAGAGTCCATATTTTTTTCTGACAGAAGTTACATGGTTATAATTCTTTTGGTCTCTGTGGTTTCCACTACAGGCAAGCCTAGGTATGTAGTGCAATATACACTCTCCCAGGTGCTGAACTTTCTCTACCTGTGTCCCCAAATTAATTTACCCGTGTTGGTATGGTCCACAGTATCTAAAGCTGCTATCAAATTAAAATATAATGTATATCTCTTAAATGAATTCATTAATAAATGTATGACCTGTGTTTATTACTGATATCAAGACTTGGAAACCCTACTACTAAATTACTTGAGCGTTTTCAAGATGGTTGAAAAAACAAGAGGCCCAAGGGCCTTAGCGGTCACCTGAGTTATATCATAGGTACTGGTAGCTTTATTTTATTGTTTAGATGTGATGTGGAAATCAGCATGTAAACTAAGTGAAATACAATACTTGTCATGTCATCAAAGGATAAGAATTTTAAAATATTGGTAAATATTCCCTTTGGGGCCCCGCCCTGGCCCCGGGGATGGGGCAGGAATGGATAAAATAAACCCAAAAGTGTTAGTTCCCTATATATAGTCAACTTTACCCCCTCCCCAAGGGAAAACGAACTGTAGTACCTCAGAGTCAGGAGAAGATTTTTAAAATATTGGTTAATTTTCCCCGCCCTGCCCCCCGGGGTTGGAGTAGGAATCTCAATTTTACAATTTGAAACCATCTTCCTCCAAGGATAATTCTCACCAAGTAAAAATATTTTCGTACAAAAATTTGTCAAAATATACCCAAAAGTGTTATTTCCCTATATAAACTATAGTAAACTTTACCCCCTCCCCAAGGGAGAACGGATAGCTTGGGGGTCCTGAAATTTACAATTGAAATAAAGCCCCTGATGATCTTTCTTTCCATGCAGAGAAAATGATTGTAGTACTCTCTGAGTCTGGAGAAGAAGATTTTTGAAATATTGGTTAATTTTCCCTTTGGGGCCCTGCCCTGGCCCCAGGGGTTGGGGTAGGAATCCCAATTTTACAATTGTGTAGCCTCATCTACAAAGGATGATTCTGACCAAGTTTAAAAAAAATCCATCCACTGGTTCTTGAGAAGAAGTTGAAAATGTAAAAAGTTAACACACGACGGACGACGACGGACGGAAAGCCATTAGAATAGGTCACTTGAGCAAACAACTATATCTATCAGGCAACATTGTGATATGGTACTATATATATCTATAACAGGTTTCATTGTGATATAATATTATATCTATCTATAACAAGTAATATTGTGATTTAGTACTATATCTATCTATAACTAGAACACTGACAGGTCAGTAAGGGCCCCGTCTTGTGGCAATATATCCCCCATAATAATCAAGAGGCAATCTGCCCATATAGCTGAGCTTGACGTTTGACATTTGGACTTCAAAAAGAATCGCAAGGAAGCAAAATATACATTTTACATGTACTATGATGCGAGTCTTGTTTCCTTCCACCTCCATATTTGCTGGGTTAACAGAAATGTAAATACCAGTGCAATACTCATTTGTTAGCTTGATTTGTTTTATTTCAACTTATATACCTCCTCCATCAAGAGCCAGGGTCAAAGTCAGAGATCCACTTTGTCTTTGACCTTTGGACCCAAATGATCTTGACAATTAACCCAGTGACCCTGATCTTTGGTCAGTTGACATATTTTTTAATTACGACCAACTTTGCTTCTTAATATCATAACAAAATGTTAATCAGTGAAAAATTCAAAACTTGACCTTGACCTTTTAGACCCTGTAACCTGGACCTAAGGTCAGTTGACTCTGTGTTAAGTTCTGAACAACATTGCTTCATAATGTCATAGCGAAATGTTCACCAGTGAAAAGATACAAAACTTAACCTTCACCTTTGACCCAGTGACCTTGACATTTGGTCAATTGACTCCTTGTTTAATTCTGAGCAACTTTTCTTCATCATGTCATAACAAAATGTTCATCCGATACGGGGCCCTAACAAGTAACATTGTGATTTAGTACTATAATGATCTATAACAAGTTATTTTGTGATTTTGCACTATAACAAGTAACATTGTGATTCAGTACTATATCTATCTATAACAAGTAACATTGTGATTTGGCATGCAAGTATTTACAACATGCAAGAATAAAGTCACTTTACATACATCATTATAATTGAGGACTTTTGAATAGCATCAAAACTGCTAAAATAAAAATACCACTAAAATGTCTATGGTAACAGTATATAGATAACAGAGGTTTTTTAATCAGTTTCTTCACCTTTATTAGCATATATTGATACATTCTTGATTTACTTCATGAATTGTGGATTTTGATTGGATTCAAATGAGAACAATAAAGACACATACAATGTATCTAGTTCATTTGTTAATATTATAAATAGATCATTGTAAATAAGGTATGGTATACACATAATGTAAATATATAAATAGAAATATAATAAATACTTTTTGATCACAAAAAAATATTTGAACATATATAAATACAGATATAATTTATAATAGATAAATTATTGCAATGTCTGTATTACAACTTTCCAAAAACAGTTTACACATGTCAACAAAAATAACTTTGAAATAAAATGAATACAATAAATCTAATGAGTATCTGTGTTGTGAGCTGCTCATTGGGATAGATACATTCCTATCAAAATTGGATCAGTAGATTTACTTAATTTAACTGATCATTCATGCTAAGAAAGATTATTTTGTCTTTTTGTTTGTGAATTAATGATTTAAAATTACCTTCATGTATTCCTATGGAAAGTATATAAACATCTAGAAATAAAACACACACATGAAGAGTTTTCAACAGACATCCCAAATGGACAGCTGGACCAAAAGGCCTTGGTCAAGAAAAATGTATTTTCAGGAAAGAGTTAAAGTAATTATACAAGCCATTAAATATAATATCATACTTTTCACTAGATACCAGGTATACAAATATCACAGCTCTGGCATTTCTAGTTTTGAATAAAAAAGATTAGAAAATATCAATAATCTAAAGGAAATCATCTAAATATTCTAGTATTTCCCCATCCACCCACCCCCAACTTGGAGAGCTTGATTCCTCTCTCTCTCTCTCTCTCTCTCTCTCTCTCTCTCTCTCCCTCCCCCCCCCCCCCACCCCCCCCCTCGAGAGCTCTCTCTCTCTCTCCCCCCCCCCCCCCCCCCCCCCCACACACACACTTTGTTGGGTGGGACTGTGAGTGTCTAACAGACTTTTAAATGAAAAGTTGACAAAAGATACTATCCAATAGCATATAAGCTCACCAGCATTGAATTTGCACAACCACTTACTTCTAACCATGTCAATGCTTGAATGCAGTATTTGAATTTACATCACTAAATCTGTCATTTACAATTGTCTCTGGAAATGTCATGGGTTGCCTTTTATGAGGTATTGTCATCATTTTCAAGAATATGGACTACAGCAGCACTTCTCTCCTCAGTGTGCTGTCGACACGGTGACGGAGGTTTAAAATGTTTGGTTACCGGAACTTTGCTCAGTATTTCCCGACATAGGAAACAGAATCCAGTGTTACAGTTCCAACACTTGACATGGTTGTTTCCGTGTGGTCCCTGCAGGCTCTTCCTGTGACATCTTGGACATTGAACCTGTTCCAATAAGGGATTTGCTGCCAACCTAGTTCGCATGTCCATCATTTTCTGCAAAAGAAAATTTTAGTAGTGTGATATAATTAATCCTCATTTGATTACTCGAGTCTTCCTCAATGAATGTGAAAAATACATTGTACTGTGGTCACAAATACTACTCAACAATACATATTCCAGCATTCATACTTAATAAAATAAAGCTGAATTAGTGAAAGTAAAATACACATATTTAATGTAAGAAATCTTTTTCCCCTTATCAGTTTTTGCTGTTTTGCAAAAGTGCAGAGATGTAGGATAACTAAATGGTCATTATCTTAAAATCCAAGGCTTCTTGAAATGTTGGAGTTTGTCAAGGCCCCTTTTGCTCAATTCCATCTAAGTGTTGTAGATAATTTCTATTTCTAACACTACTTATACTTCCTTAATGCCTTATTCCATTATTCCAAGCAATAATCTCCAGCTATTTTAATTAGTATTAAACATTTATTAGACTGATGACAATTTTTTTTGATTGAAAGCAATTGTGACCTTCATCTTTGCACCAAAATTCTGAAGTCAAGTGTAAACTCCTTCACAGTATTTCAGTACTGAACACTTCAAACAAGTCATCCAAACAGGCAAACACACTCTATTATGAAGAAAATGATGACAACTGGATGTCACTGTAAGGATAGACCGACATGGGCAATACTACATGACCCCCCCCCCCCCTTCCACTTACACACTTGATAGAAGAGCCTTCCACTTACACACTTGATAGAGGAGGAGTTATAATAATTTGGTAATTGTATCACTTCTTTAACAAGAGGTCCTGATGGCCTGTATGGCTCACCTGGATCTTTATGTCTAGCAATGGTATATATGGCTATGGGATCAGGATCTCTACCATTTCAAAATTATGATGCCAAAATTAAGTCACAAGGGCTAGGGGTAGAACCAGAGGCCATAGTCAATTATTGAATATGACTGTCTTTATCTCTGTGTTTATCTCTTTATGCCTATCATTTATATATATATATGGATATGGGGTGGGGAATTCAACCGTTTCATTCAAAGTACTTGCCCAAAAATGATGTCCCTAAGCTAGGTTAGGGCCAGACCTCTGGATCAATTCTAATACATATCACAATTTTATTTATCTCTTCATGCCTAGCAATGGTATATATGATTATGGAGTGGGGAATTAAACCATTTCAAAGTTATGACCCAATAAATTAAGTCCCTAGGGGTGGAACCAGACTCAAGGGTCAATATTAATATTATGATTATGTTGGTCTCTTGATGTCCAGCAAGTGTATATATGGTTATGGGTAGTCCGAATTATTCTGACGTTTTATCGGCTTTTTTCATATCGGTCTGTCGTCGATTAACGTCAGAACTCCGGCCCTCTATAGTATGGCGCACTTCAAACTGATATTTTAGAAACAAATCGTCACTTTCAAACACATGTCGCACATGGATCGAATGATCTATTCTTTATGCACTAGGTGGTATCAATAACATGTTTCAAATATCATTACGAAAAGTATTTTCCAACGTTTTCTATACCAACCCATGTTTTTAATGGAAATTAGGCCATGAGCAATGTCACATGACTTGACGAGATCTCACGTTACCGAAGGTATTTCCCAACGTTATGACGTAGGCCGGCAAGATTTTAGTCACGTGGCATTAGAGGGCGGGGCTATCAAAAAACTAGAGTAAAACAGAGTAAGTTTGAAAAAACATGTTTTTAGTGATTGTATTGGTTGTTTGAGGCATGTTATGTATGCTCATCTTGTGCATAAAGAATAGATCTTTCGATCCATGTGCGACATGAGTGTGAAAGTGACGATTTGTTTCTAAAATATCAGTTTGAAGTGCGCTCCGGGCGGGGGTCGCATATTTCCCGCATATTATAGAGGTCCGGAGTTCTGACGTTAATCGACGACAGACCGATATGAAAAAAGTTGATAAAACGTCAGAATAATTCGGACTAGGTTATGGGGTGGGGGTCTTAACCGTTTCAAAGCAATGGTTCAAATATTAAGTTCCAAGTGTCAATATTAATATCATAATTGTTTTCATCTGTTGATGCCCAGCAGTGGTATAAATGGTTCTAGGGTGGGGCACTCAACCGTTTAAAAGTTATGTCCCAGGAATGAAGTTCCAAAGAGTGGGGCCAGACCAATATCATGACTGTATTTATCTCTTTATGCCTATCAAATGTATATATGGTTATGGGGTGGGGATCTAAAGCATTTCAAAGTTATGGCCCAGAAATTAAATCCCTAGGGTCTGGGCCAGACCAAGAAGTCAATACGAATATCATGAATGTGTTCATCTCTTTATGCACAGCAATGGTATATAGAGAACCTGTCATAAGTTTCATTTCATATCAGATTTATGATATAAGTTTTGTATGTTTCATGTTTGCGAGCCTCATGAGCCTTTTATCATGATTGTGCTTTTCTCTTGATGCGCAAGAAATTGTTCACAAGGTTGTAGGGTTGGGATTTCGATAATGTCCAAGTTAAAATTTCTTTTGGCCATGACCCTCAGACCCATGATTCAACCCTTCAACTGGTACAATTTTGAATCCTCAACCACCGAAGAATGATCCAAATCAAATGTGGTTGATATCCATCACTTTGTTCCAGAGATGAAGTCACTTTAACCCTTTTCGGCCCATCCAGCCCCCACGGAGGCAATACCTTCCTCTTGGCTCAAGGAAGCTCAACACTAAATTTGGTTCAAATCCCTCTATTCAGACAGAAGGCAAAGGATTTTAAACATTATCCCCTTTGTTCTCCCTAATTGGCCCCGCCCCTCTGCCCCGAGGGGAGCCACCTCAATTTCCCCTATGGGGCCTATTTGTTTACACAAAACTGAATCTTCTTTGGCTCAGGATACTCTAGGCCAAATCATGAAAATATAAGCTAGTTACCACAACTTTGTCTTGATTTATCTGTGGAAGTGGACGTCTGTTCCACACATTCAGATCTTCATGGTCTTCAAAGGTGGAGCAGCCCACACTCTCCTGGAAATGACTGTATCCAATCTTTGTGATATCTTTACAACAGACGTAGCACAGGGAACGGCCACATCTACAGACGACCTTGTTACACCTGGGGAGGGAATATCAACAATGTATCATCTACAGACACCAGGGCAAAATAAACAAA